AAATTTTTCAATTTTACAAGGAAAAATAGTCCAAGAGAATTGAAATCCAACAGAACACAGTTTTCCTAGAACGTGTCATTTATGTATTCAGTGCAACCCCTATCAGATCCAAGCAGGTCATACATCATTCTTAATATCATATATGGAAATGTAGTATTCAGTGCCAGAAGAAATTTTCAGAAAAATTGGAACATTGTAGTTTGTGATTTTAACCTTTATAAAGCTGTATTAATTAAAATAACTTGGGAGTCAAATTAAAATATATATCTTTATATATATATATACTATATACTATATATATATATATATACTATATACTATATATGTACTATGAAAAAAATATTATATATATATATATATATACCAAAGAAACACACTGAGAGTCTGCTGTTATGGAAAAACAATGAGGAAACACTGATGAAAGGCCTAAAATATTGGAACACTCCTTTTGGAAATGTATAGTAATTCACCAGCTCTGTGACTTGCCAGTCACCAGATTGACATTTCCCAGATGTTAGTCAGGAAGGACACCATTCAATTCTACCTTGACCCACAGTTTTTCTTTCTTTCTTTTTTAAAAAAAATTTATTTATTTATGTGTGTGTGAGTGTGTGTGTGTGTGTGTGTGTATGTGTGTGTACAGTGTGTGGCCAGATCAGCCCACCAGGGGGCGGGGCTGGCTGGCTTGTGGTGCTGGGGGATTGAACCGCGGTCCCTGTGCTTTGCTAAGCTTGTTCTAAGTAGGTGCTTTTGACCACTGAGCCATCGCACCAGCCCAACCCACAGTTTTTCTTATCTGCTTGTACCTCCAGATAATACATTGTTTTTCTTTGTGTGCATCTATGGCAAAGAAGATAAAGAGTGAGGAGTGAGTTTACACAAGCTTAAGTGACTTCAAAAACAGAGTCACGAGGAAGCAAAATGGAGTCTCTTTTGCCATGTCACTAGAAATAAAGCATTCGTAGTGTACTGATGGATTTTAAAAAGGTATCCAGATGAATCAATGAGAAATCATTCCTTTTTTAAAAAATAAATTGTGCTAAAAATCTGATAGTTTATACACATTACAAGTTGTTTCTACATTCAATTAATACATACACAAAAGTTAATTCAAAATTGATATTAGAGCTATTTGCCCTGGCCAAATAGCTCAGTGGATTAAAGCAACTGCAAGCATTCACAGGCACAGGGGTTGGGGGATCCATCCCTGGGCCTGCCGTGCGGGCCCCCGCTCCCGGTGTGCACTGAGACAGCAATTGAGACTGGGTGTAGTGGCATGAGCCTGTAATCCCAGCTCTTGGGATGCTGTAAACATGCGGATCACTATGAGTCCAATCTAGTAGTGTGACCCTGAACACCCTTCCCTGAAATAAAAAAAAAAAAAAAAAAAAAAAAAAAAAATTGGTGTTAGACTTAAATGTAAAATTGAGAACTGTAAAAATTTTAGAAGAAAACAAGTAAGATCTTGGATTAAGCTGACCTCTTAGACATAATTTTAGTAAGGTCTACTGATTTTTTTTTTTTTTTTGTTTTTGCTTGCTCAGCCCATCCTGAGTGTGGGGCTGGCATGGCACGTGGTGCTGTGGATCAAACCGTGGTCCCCTGTGCCTGCCTAAGCTTGCCTAAGCAGGAGCTATAAACTGCTGAACTAGCTTGCTGATCCATGTTCTCCTGATTTTGAGGCTATGCAGATATAATAATTAAACATTTTCTGTTTCCTTTTAGAACTATACTACTGGATGAAATATCACACATAATGCATACTGAAGGACTCAATTATTTCTGGTAACTTCATTTTCAAGGAAGATATCAAAATTATTCCACTTTAAATAAAATTTCTTGAAAAATGTTACTGATGAGCTGAATGTCAAATATTTACTATACGCCATATTAAATATTAATCTGAATTGAGAATAAACACAATAAATATAAAATAAAGTATGCCTAGAAAAAATGAGTAATATTGTCATGACCTTCAAAGAGGAAAAGATTTCTCAGATTTGACATATGTAAAAAATAATAGCAATAAAAGACAAAGAAATGATGATATACTATTTATGAAAAGATAACAGTGAGAAAGGAAATTAACCTTGAAGAAAAAAATTAGATAGGTAGATGATAGATAAATGTCAATGGACACATATTTATTCATTTGTCTACCTTAAAAATTCATTCAAATCAACATTAAGAAAGGCTTCAAAGTGTATAGAAATTAGGGAAAGATGAATAGATTCTGAACAAAAGATACCATACAATCATAAGAAGGTACTCAACACCATTACTCATAAGGAAATGTAAAATGAAAGCCAGTGAAATACCACTTTAGCTTCTTTGAATGCTAGAAGTAAAAAACTATGGACACCAGATTTTGGTAATAACATGAAGCAATTGATACTGTCCTGTCTGCTATGAATGTAAAACAGTTTTGCCTTGTCAAAGCAGTGTTTGACAATTTCTTATTAAGTTAAATATGTTTTCCTTACCATCCTGCTATTCCACACATGTATTTATTATGTATTTATTTACTTAAGATAAATAACAGTGTCCACAAAACAATTTGCATATTTATTCCTTAGAGTCCTAAACTGTAAATAATATAAATATGCTTCAACAGAGGGATGAATGAACAAATTAGTATATTCATAGAGTGAATGAAACACTCAGCAGTAAAAGAAATAAACTATTCATATACATAACAAGAAACAAAGAGTACATAGAACATGATTCAGTTTATGTAAAATCCTGAAGCAGGCAAAACCAAGGCAGAAAGCACACAAGTCTCGACTCTAACTACAAAAAGAATACAATTCATAAAATTGTTCTCTGTCTTAATTATGGTGGTTATTTCAAGACTCTATAGACTTATTACTCATTAAAGTGTGCCTTTAAAGGTACTTAACAATTTTGACTATACATTTACTATACATCAAACCTACTTCAGTAAATTTAATGTTAAAAGCAAACACTGTATAACTAAAACTTCAAAAATGAAGGCAAAGTTGAAATTTTCAGATAATTTACCTAGAATCATTATTAAAACTGATGATATATTTTTTCATAAAATAGAAATTACCATTAATGATTATATCAATAGAATTTCTCTCATTCCACATTTTGCTTGAGATTAAGTAAGGCCAGTTCTTTAAGAAATTCCCTTCAACTTTATAGTTTAATGATTATTTACTTTAAAAAGTACAAAATGAGTTTACCACACTTACTAATTAGGGCAGCATTACTGTTAGATCATCATACCTTCTTCAGATATGATCTTATTCAGATAAGACTGTTTTGAAAGTTTTTCATCTACTTGCATGAAGTTTTATACTTTGCTATACATTTTTTGAAGTCAACAAAAATATACTATAAATATTTGCTACTTAGAGTAGGAAATGTTACTGGTTGCTTATTATGTAATAACAGCTTTAGTCTCTATAAAAACCAGAAAAAATATTTTAAAGAAATAAAATCTGCCTCAAATACATCCCTTTGATATGTAATTAGAGTTCAGTGCTCTTGACATCTGAGTGAGGAGTTCAAACATTGAACTCTAAACCCAAATTGAGTTTAACATATCAGTACTTAATGGAAAAATACCTCTTCCATGTTATATCTAACATGTTTGATATTCAGACAGATAGTTAGGTTAAGCTCAACTGCCTATATTGTAAGGTAATAATAACAAATTTCTCTTCTGGAGGGTTAACAACTTAAGTTTGCTGACCAAAAATCAAAGAAAAGGAAGGGCTGCAAGGATAGCCAACATTTTGCCCCTAGCTTTTCAAGGTCAATGAAGACTCAGGACATATGAGAACTTGTACTGCAACATCATGTAACTCAGTTATGTCCCAAATTTTCTGATCAAGGAGATTATGGGACCACAGAGGAAAGTGATCAATGATGTAGAGTGTGGCTAAGGAGAGTTACATGGAGAGAAAACATTCTCTCAGGCATTCACAGAGAGCAAATTGGTCAAGCAATGGCCGTGACTCATCCACATGGCTGACACTGACAAAGGATCTATAAACTGCTGTACAGGGTTTCAGGCTAAATCCTGAGGGTACTTGACTGACCTTATCAGATAAAACAGTTACATTTCTTGTTATATAGGTCTTGCTTTATCTTGGTCTTAACCATCCAGCAGAAAAGTATAAAAACACAGTATAAAGAAGTAAAGCTGTATTAATGTGCTGAGCTGTAAAAGGCTCAAGTCAACAACTTCTGACATTGCCAGTCTTACAGAAAGTCCACTACTATTATAGACTACTGGACTATATTGGAATATTTTACTGAATTCAAGCACCTACAAAGTTTAAATGACAGTGAAATACCCTTCTCTGACAAAACTAAACAAAAAAAGGGGATACAAATGAATGACCATTTTGTATCTGTATATTCAAAATATTTAGGATAGATATACATCTACTTTCTCTTAATTCAATGAATAGAAAAATTTGTTCTAATAGTGTTTGTGGACAGGATATCATGTCTGCATCTTGTACAATGAATAACCACTGAGACAACAATTGGCAATGTATTAATTATTGAAACTGTTCTACTAATCAGTTTTGAAACTGTCTCATTGCTATTTGTTTCTCAATAAAATTATTTAAAAAACATCCAAATTGACATATGATATAAAGATCATGGAAAATAGTAATGATATCTGAGATAGGCTAATAGTGCATTATAAGGCATAAATATGAATGACAATTTTTTTCAAATGAAGGATCACGTATACTATGTGAGTGAAATACATCTTACTACTTAATTCAGATAAACTTTCAACCATATTTTGTATAATTAGTTCTTTTGCATAAAAATACTTAAGGGTACATTATTGACAATTTTTGTATTTACCACACATGTACTCTAACACAGAAAGACATATTTTTCACTTAATATTTTCTGGATATATTGGAAAAATCTATAGAAATTAATGAAATTACTATGGAAAACATAGAAAGAAGCAGAAAATATCAGTCTTTGGATTCTTCTAGAAGTCATACAGCATCGCTATTCTTGAAAATGTCTTGAAGGTTTCTTTTCCTGCAGCAGCACCTTGCTTGCCACACATGCAACACAAATGCCTGTTTCAGTTTCCTGTTTCCCCAAATCAGGACACATGAATGGATTGAAGGATATAAGATTCCCAAAGTCTGGGAAAGAGAGAAAACTGATTCATGCGGAGACACTTTAAAAGTCCAATTTGACATGATTTCAGATAGAGAGTACATGGCAATTAACAAAAGAAAAGAGACCATTGATTTCAAAGCCTTCACCTGGACCTTGGTGCTGGGATCTTGGGATCCATTGCTGTACTGACGCATCTGTCTAAGATGTTTATGAAGGGAATAGATTAACAACAGAAAACAGATGATGGATATAATAATGGGTATGAAGTACCCTACAGTGAATACAATCATGATAACTTTCCCCAGCTCTGTCCTCCAAGTCACATTGCCTTCATACTTTTCCAGCTCCATTGCATGATGTACAGATAATATCACAAGTCTAGAAAGAAGCAATAGCAGCCCACTCCACAGTGTCAATACAATAACACTGTGAACTCTCTTCTTTAGGTGAAAAAAAAGATAATTAGAAAAATTGGTTATTTTGAGCAGATAAAATATGCTAAGACTAGTAGAAATCCAGGTGCTAAAATCATTGGTTATTATCCATAAAATAAGAGAAATAAGTCCACTATGTACAGATGTATTGACCAGAGTACTAAACCAGCTTTTGAACAGTATCAAAAGCAACCCAATCCTGGACACAGCCAGAGCAGTGAGGATTCGCTCAACTGAAGAGATGCTTTGTCTCTTCATCCAGTTTCTGCAGTTCACCAGAGTTATAAAGACATTGACAAAACTTCCAACAACAAATGCTGCTGTTGCAAAGATGGTCAAAATGGTATGCAGAACACTTATCATGACTGAACAAATAAAGAGAAAGACGTACCTGGCATCACTCTTTGTTTTCCTTTAAAACGTGCTTTTGAATTTCATGTATGTTTGACTTTTGGATAAGAAGTTTTATTTTGTCTTTTTCAAATTCTGTGACCAACATCAAACAGAAAGGAACAGGTATATGCTGTGGAATGAATTCAATGATGCCTTTATGGAAAACAGTGTTTTGCCACACTATTCAAATTAACCCTTATTCCTACTCCCTGTCATAGGTTGGTATAGATCATAACTGATGTCAAGTGAAAGCTTCACTCTCATTTGCTGGCATGCAAATAAAGACATATTTTCTTTCACCCTTAACCAACCTTCCCTAATTTCATCTGCCTATAATGTGTGCTTATCACAATTTTGCTAATTGCCTCTTAGTAAAATTTGCCAGCTCACAAGAATTTTTAAACGACTTGATGAAACTTGGTCATATTTAGGATCAAGAAGACTGTGGATTAATCTTTTGAATGTCAGCTTTATGCAGAAAGGATCTAGTATTTTCTTATCAAACGCAACAATACTCCATAAGTCCTGGTAAATGATAACTTGGGCTTATGAATTAATTTGTTCTGAGAGGCTTTACACATGTATGGGTATGCACATATATTCCAGTAAAGGAAGAAATTATTTTCCTGTAATCTCCAAGTGAATAGTACCTTTATTTTTAAAATAACATAATAATTTCATTTCTTCACTTTCTCCTTAAAATGATTTTACATGGTTTCATATCTGTGCTTTGAACATCCATAGATGATTAGTAAGGGACTTAGTTGCATAAAGAAGAATTATTATAGAAGTTATCTATACATGTAAAGCAGCATGCAGTTATGTTCTCATTTCCTTACATTTTTGGCCTCCTATAAGAAGGCACTAGTTAAAGACAAAGAAAAAAGAAACACACCTTTTAAAATTAGGAAAATGCCATCCATCAGTGGTGCTATTTATAGCACAGGCCAAAATAACAAAGACTAATATAAGAAATGCAGTGTTATCACAAAGTGACTTGGTGTCCATGTGTTTTTGTGAAAAAAAAAATATTAGTTTTATAGGATCTTGTGGATCAAGTTGATGTTCCACACACAATCCACAGTGTCACAGATATCCTCAGTAAATCAGATTCCCAATTGCAAAACTATGACACTTAATACAGCAAACTGTCACTCAGTGCTCACTGGATTGCCAAAAATTGTTAGCAGAGTGACCACTGTATCACCTCCCCAACCCAGGAGATGAGAGACAATAAACCATTCAAATTAGCTGGAAAGGTAAGCAGTAAGCAAACAGCATATTTGGATTCTAGATATCTGTTTGAATCTATGGGACATGTTAGCTAAAATGTCATCTTATGGATTTGTGTGGCGCTGCTATTGCTTATCATGCTATTTTAAAACACATTAATAAGGATGCTAATATTCTCCTGTAGTCAGTCAAAAGCTGCAGGCCTATGACTGAATGTTACATATTTAAAATTAATTTTATTGAGAAACAAATAGCAATGAGTCAGTTTCAAAACTGATTAATAGGACAGTTTCAATAATTAATACCTTATAATTTCGTCTTCATACTTTTCTGCTGGATGGTTAAGACCAAGGTAAAGCAGGACTTATGCAACAAGAGTTGTAGCTTTTTGGTCTGAGAAGGTCAGTGAAATGCCCTCAGGATTTGTCCTGAGATCCTGTACCTCAGATTGTAGAACCTTTATCAGTGCAGCCATGTGGATGAGTCACGGCCAATGCTTGGCCAATGTGCTTTCTGTGAAAGCCTGAGAGAGTATCTTCTCCCCATGTGACTCTCCTTAGGCCCACTCTATGTCATCGATCACTTTCCTCTTTGGCCCCATAATCTTCTTGATCAGAAAATTTGGGACACTACCGAGGTACATGATGTTACAGTACAAGTTCTCATATGTCCTGAGTCTTAATTGACCTTAGAAGGCTAGGGCCAAAATGTTGGCTTTCCTTGTATCCCTCCGTTTTCTCTAATTTTGGTCTGCAAACTTAGGTTGTTAACCATCCAGAAGAAAAGTATGAAGACAAAATTATAAGAAATAAAGCCATGCTGTTAAGTTGAGCTATGGGGGACTCAGGTCAATAATTTCTGACATTGCCAGTTAAACAGAAGACCCAATGCTATTATGGGCTACTGGACTCTTTTAGAATATTTTTCTGAGTTTACACACCTATAATATTCAATAACGGAACTTAGAAAACATGGGGTATACAGATGAATGTCCATTTTGTATCTGTGTATTCAAAGTGGTTGGGGGGGCCAGGGAGATGGCTCAGTGGAATGAGCACTTGCCTGGCAAGTGCAAGGGCCTGAGTTCAATCCCTGGTTGCACCAAAAAAAAAAAAAAAAAAAAAAACAAAGTGGTTGGGATAGATATATAGTTACATTCTGTTAATGAATAGAATGATTTGTTCTAATGGTGTTTGTAAATAGGATCACAAGTCCGCATCTTGTACAGCAATTAACCACTAAGAAGAATATATGCAGTGTATTATTTGTTGAAAAATAAAAAAATAAAAAAAACTGGAAAAATAAAACAAAACCAAAAAAGGAAAAAAAATAATTAATACCTTGTACATTGTTAGCTTCTTAGCCGTTATCCATAGTACAAGATGCAGACATGATATCCTGTCCAAGCACTATTAGTACAAATCTTCCTTCTCTTTGAATTAAGCGAAAGTAGTTGTATATCTGTCCTAACTATTCTGTATATACAGATGCAAAGTGGTCCTTCCTTTGTATCACCTTTTTTTGTTTAGTCCTTGACAGTGTCTTATAAATTCCAACACATATTCTTTACTATCTTGCTATTCCTCATCTATGTAAATACTCAGGGTGAATAACAGTGACCGTGTTTCCATTTATTTACTAGTATAAAACCAGAAAATTATGTAAATATGTATTAACTGAGCAAAAAGTTAACAATTGTGGAATATTCCTTGAATGAAATACAACCAGTATTAAAAGAAACATTCATACACATAAAAATATAAATGATTTTTTATCAAGAAGTTGGCTGAAAAAGATCTATTAAAAAAAAAGGTTTATATACCAAGGCTCCATTTATATTACATCCTAAAAGGGGCTAAACTAGCACAGGAAGCCCAGAAATAAGTTGTCTATAATACGGCTATAAGAGTGAAAAATAATTTGGAGATACATGCTTTGATCATGGGTAGTGCTTTAAGAGTGCATATGGCAGAGCAGCTAAGTCAGTGACTCAGCATTTTGAATCTGGTCCTGTTGCTTTCTGTACAACCCCACAGGAGAAATTCAGTGGCATTGTCCTGGGAGGAGAGGCTGAGGCCTGTGGCTTCACTCAGTGAGCTCAGGCATGCTACTAGGCCTAGTGGTGCCCAGATTGAGGCCCAGGACTACTGGAAGAGCCTCACAGCATGGAGGCAGCAGTAGGTAACTTAGAGAAACTAGTCCACCTGGAAGACAACAGGATGGAGGAACAGTGTCAAGTAGAAGCCAATATCATAGTCTCAATGGAGAAGACAAAGACTTGAAACACAACAAAAAAGAATATCTGACATAGAAGAGATACCTAAAGAACAGACTCTTTAAGGAGGGGTTTTACAGTGATACAGCTGCCTACAACTGAACTTTAAGAAAAGCACAGAAATCAAAATAAAGAGTTCACTGTGCAATAGAAAATGAAAAAAAAGAAAAAAAGAAGGAGCAAAGTGCAACCTCAGGCACTGAGCACACTTACAACAAATCCAAGAGATACTAGCTTAGAAGACATTGGCAGTAACACATCTGAAATGCCTTTGTTTCAATAACAACTGTAATATAGAAACAACTGCAGAAGGGTGTATAGGAAATCAGATCAGAAATAATCCCCCAGGTAAAAAAGAAATGACAAGAATAATTAAAGAATTACTAAGTGTTTCTAAAGAAGACACTGATAAAAAATTAGAGGCAAATAAAAAATGATGGAAAACTTGAATGAACAATATAGGAAACAAAGAGAATGCATGTGGCACATTCAAAGAAATATATAGGAAATTAAAAACTCCAATAAAAGTTGACAAAATCACTTGAAGGAAAGTGAAGACAGACTTTTTTCCCCATAATTTTATTGAGAGACAAATAGCAATGAGACAGTTTCAAGTCAAATTGGTAGGACAGTTTCAATAATTAACACATTGCACTCTTTTCCTAGTGGTTATTTGCTGTACAAGATGCAGACATGATATTCTGCATATTAAAATAAAATTACAACAAATCTCTCTATTCATTAAGAGAATGTAACTATATATCTATCCTAATCATTTTGAATACACGGATACAAAATGGACATTCATCTGTATCCCCTTTTTTGTTTAGTTCTGTCATTTGAATATTATAGGTGTGTTAACTCAGCAAAATATTCTATAAGAGTCCAGTAGTCCATAATAGTATTGGGTCTTCCGCTTGACTGGCAGTGTCAGAAATTGTTGACCTGAGTCCCCTACAGCTCAACATTACAACATGGCTTTACTTCTTATACTTTGTTTTTATACTTTTCTGCTGGATGGTTAAGACCAAGGTAAGCAGGACCTATGCAACAAGAGTTGTAGTTTTTGGATCTGATAAGGTCAGTGAAATTCCCTAAGGATTTATCTTGAGATCCTGTACCTCAGATTGTAGATCCTTTGTCAGTGCAGCCATGTGGATGAATCATGACCATTGCTTGGCCAATGTGCTCTCTGTGAAAGCCTGAGAGAATGTTTTCTCTCCATATGACTTTCCTTAGGCACACTCTACATCATTGATCACTTTCCTCTTTGGCCCCATAATCTCCTTTATCAGAAAATTTAGGACACTACTGAGTTACATGACGTCTCAGTACAAGTTCTCTCCTGAGTCTTAATTGACCTTGGAAGGCTAGGGCCAAAATGTTGACTTTCATTGCAGCCCTCCTTTTTCTCTAATTTTGGTCTGCAAAATTAGGTTGTTAACCCTCCAGAAGAGAAGCT